GATTCAGATTTACTTTGTGTTCCAAAATATGAATTTTACCAGTCCATTTACTCTCCCCAAAACATGGATCCTATGTTTCTGTTAGAAATACTGACCTAGTTTTCTGTGGATATTTATTTAATTATGTATCTGCTTTCAATTTTAAGTTAAAATTTATGTGATGGAATAGATATTGATATTTGGGTTCATGTTGTGATGAATGTCGTGGCCTGCTTGCTCTTTTTTGGTCGCATTATTGATAATATTACTTTAAACAATAATACCAATGTTGTGCTTCCTCAAAATTTTCAACTGTAATTATCTCAACACATCAACTATTTTTTTGTGTTATATTATATATTCCTGTTCTCCATTACCTTTGTTTTATTTGGATTTTCATTACCCGTTTGTGATAATATCTTATGTATGTCCTAGTTCGAGTACTATTAAATAATGAATTTGTGGAGTGTTATGTAGAATGAATGAAGAAATTTATAAATGACACATATTTAATGTATGAAGTAATACCCTACCCTAATTTAAATATGTTTTTTCTTATCTACAGCCAAACCCGTTTTTTTACAGAGCGGTTGGCAACTTTTGAAATGTGGCTTGATTATGGATCTGAACATAAAAGCTACCAGAACAGTTGCCAATTGTACTTCAGGTAGCAACATTCTAGTCAAATTTTATTTAAAACGTTTAAAATAGTTGTCATTATGTGCTTAATAATTTTCTCACGGGCATTTGTTTCTTCCCCTGAATTACGTTGGCACGTTAAAGATGGTATGAACATATTGTTTACGAGCTGGTACGAAGTAGTTTTAGTTTAGAGAATTTGATAAACTGTATTTCGTAATAATAATGCTTTGAACAATTTCATAATGACAGTTATACGAAATACCAGTGTAACATGATTTGTTTTATTTTTTTTAAAATCTCTTACTTCCAGGAGGTATATCTAAAAGCATTGAGAAAGGGTTTTAGCGTAAATGTGGATTTAAAGGAAAAGGCTTCAGTATATCGATGGATTCAAATTTTAAGGTATCTCGCTTCCATTATTTGAGAAAGTTGACATCATATTTGACATCAAATTTCATTCTGCTATTACTCCCTCCGTAACGCAAAAAATTAGTGCATTTTTTGCGAAGGAGGGAGTAATTTTTTTTGGGCTGGCTCGGGCCGTTTTAAAACTCAAGCCCGATAGGCCTAACCTGATTTTGGGTTCGGCTTGAAAATTGAAACCCAGGCATGGCCCGGTTTCAATTTATACCGGGCGCCAGCCCACTCTCTTGCGTGTGCATCTAAAAATATTTAAAATAGATATTAGAATATATGCATAGGAAACAATAAAATAATATTAAAATCACTTACTTTGAGTTTGAAGTCGAGATCGAAGGATCTTTTCGCATTCTCTTGTCCACATATGCTTTACCTACAAATTAAATACACTATGAAATATAGAGATAAAAATAATACATTTAAGCCCCGATACGTAAACATGATTCTATTACTACATAAAAGATGCTAAAATAAATGCAATGCATAAATGAAAAAGAAAAAAAGACAGAGTACTACCTGTTATAGCTTCGGTCTTGCGGCCACTCTCTAGCATATGGATCTAAAAATATTTAAAATAGATATTAGAATATATGCATAGAAAACAAGAAAACAATATCAAAATCACTTACTTTGGGTTTGAAGTCGAAATCGAATAATCTTTCCGGATCCTCTAGTCTCCACATATACTTTACCTACAAATTAAATACACTAAACAAAACATTAGTATGAAATTTAGAAAGAAAATTATTGCATGCAAGTCCCGAGACGTAAATATGGTTCTATTACTAATATAAGATGCTAAAATAAATACAATACATAAATGTAAAAGAAAAATGTCGAAATACTCCCTATTGTAGCTTCGGTCGTCCGGCCATTCTCTCGCATGTGCATCTAAAAATATTTAAAATATATATTAGAATATGTGCATAGGAAACAACAAAGTAATATTAAAATAACTTTCCTTGGGTTGGAAGTCGAGATCGTAGGATCTTTTTGGATCCTCTAGTCTGCACATATGCTTTACCTACAGATTCAATACATTAAACAAAAATTTAGTATGAACTTCAGATAGAAAATTAATGCAGGTAAGTTCCGTGACGTAAATATGATTATATTACTATATGCAAGATGCTAAAATAAATGAATGCATAAATGTAAAAGAAAAAAGTCAAAAATATTTCATAATAAAGATGGTATGAACAAATTGTTTGTGAGTTGGTACTAAGTAGTCTTAGTTTAGAGATTTTGATAAGCTGTATTTTGTAATAATAATGCTTTGAGAAATTTCATAATAACAGTTATAGGAAAGACCAGTGTAAGCATGATTTTTAATTTTTTTACTTAATCTCTTACTTTTAGGAGTTATATGTGGAAGCTTGGGAAATGGTTTCTCTAGTGCAGCAACATTGCAATTCGATACAAAGGTATTATTGGAAAAGGCTTCAACATATCAACGGATTTAAAGGAAAAAGCTTCAGCATAAGGTATGTTGCTTCCATTATTTGAGAAAGTTTACATCATATTTAGCAAAAAAAAAATGTGGCAATTTCAGGCTGATGTTACTCATTCCGACACGCAAAAAATTAGTGCATTTTTTGCGAGAAAGAAAGAGTAATATTTTTTTGGTTTGTCTCGGGTTGTTTTAAAATTGAAGCCCGATAGGCCCGGCCTGATTCTGGATTGGGCTTGAAAACCCAAACCAACGCATGGCCCGGTTTCTAAGTATACCGGGCCAGACCAGCCCACAATTTTAATATTAAGTTTTAATTAAATTTTTTGTTTTTTTAATTAGAAGATAAGTTATATTAGTCTAAGTTGATATAATTAGGAAAAAATATGTTTATTGATAATTAAGAATTAAAAAAAAAATTAATTCATGTAAGTCCCGGGACGTAAAAATAAATCTAACTCTATATGCAATATGCTAAAATAAATACAATACATAAATGTCAAAGGATAGGGACGAATTATTCCCTATTATGTATTCGGTCGTCCGATCATCCGGCCGTTCCCTCCCGTATGCATCTAAAAAGATTTAATAGATATTAGTATATATGTATAGGAAACAACATAATAATATTAAAATCACTTATCTTGGATTTGAAATCGAGATCGAAGGATCTTTGCGGATCCCCTCGTCTCCACATAAGCTTTACCTACAAATCGAGAACACTTAAAAATAAGTTAGTATAAAATATAGAAAAAAACTAATGCATGCATGTCCCGGGACGTAAAAATAAATCTAACTCTATATGCAAGATCCTAAAATAAATACAATGCATAAATGTAAAAGGATAGGGACGAATTACTCCCTCTTATGTATTCGGTCGTCCGATCATCCGGCCGCTCCCTCTCGTATGCATCTAAAAAGATTTAAAATAGATATTAGTATATATGTATAGGAAACAACAAAATAATATTAAAATCACTTACCTTGGATTTGAAATCGAGATCGAAGGATCTTTGCAGATCCCCCCGTCTCCACATAAGCTTTACCTACAAATTAAAAACACTTAAAAATAAGTTAGTATAAAATATAGAAACAAAATTAATGCATGCATGTCCCGGGACGTAAAAATAAATCTAACTCTATATGCTAGATGCTAATATAAATACAATGCATACATGTAAAAGGATAGGGACGAATTACTCTCTAATGTATTCGGTCGTCCAATCATCTGGCCGCTCCCTCTCGTATGCATCTAAAAAGATTTAGAATAAATATTAGTATACATGTATAGGAAACAACAAAATAATATTAAAATCACTTACCTTGGATTTGAATTCGAGATCGAAAGATCTTTGTGGATCCCCTCATCTCCACATAAGCTTTACCTACAAATTAAAAACACTTAAAAATAAGTTAGTATAAAATATAGAAACAAAATTAATGCATGCATATCCCGGGACATAAAAATAAATCTAACTTTATATGCAAGATGCTAAAATAAATACAATGCATAAATGGAAAAAGATAGGGACGAATTACTCCCTCTTACGTATTCGGTCGTCCGATCATACGGCCGCTCCCTCTCGTATGCATCTAAAAAGATTTACAATAAATATTAGTATACATATATAGTAAACAACTAAATCATATTAAAATCACTTACCTTAGATTTGAAATTGAGATCGAAAGATCTTTGCAGATCCCCTCGTCTCCACATAATCTTTACCTACAAATTAAAAAAACTTAAAAAGAAGTTAGCATAAAATATAAAAACGAAATTAATGCATTCATGTCCCGGGACGTAAAAATCAATCTAACTCTATATGCAAGATGCTAAAATAAATACAATGCATAAATGTAAAAGAAAAAGAAAGAAGTACTCCCTATTATGTTCGGTAGTCCGATCATGCGGACGCTCCCTCTCGTATACATCTAAAAAGATTTAAAATAGATATTAGTATGTATATGCATAGGAAGGAAAAAACAAAATACTATTAAAATCACTTACCTTTGTTTGAAGTCGAGATCGACGGATCTTTGCGCTTCCTCTAATCTCCCTATAAGCTTTACCTACAAACTAAAAAACACTAAAAAATGTGTTAGTATAAAATATAGAAACAAAATCAATGCATACATGTCCCGGGACGGACGTAAAAATAAATCTAAAATATGATAAAATAAATGCATTGCATAACTATAAAAGGAAAATAAAGAAGTACTCCCTATTATGTTCGGTAGTCCGATCATGCGGCCGCTCCCTCTCGTATGCATCTAAAAAGATTTAAATAAATATTAGTATGCATATCCATAGGAAGGGAAAGACAAAATAATATTAAAATCACTTACCTTGGTTTGAAATCGAGATCGACGGATCTTTGCGCTTCCTCTAATCTCCCGGTAAGCTTTACCTACAAACTAAAAAACACTAAAAAAATGTGTTAGTATAAAATATAGAAAAGAAATTAATGCATGCATGTCCCGGGACTGACGTAAAAATAAATCTAACCTATATGCAATGTGATAAAATAAATGCAATTCATAAATGTAAAAGAAAAAGATAGAAGTACTCCCTATTATGTTCGGTAGTCCGATCATGCGGCCGCTCCCTCTCGTATTCATCTAAAAAGATTTAAATAAATATTAGTATGTATATGCATAGGAAGGGAAAGACAAAATAATATTAAAATCACTTACCTTGGTTTGAAATCGAGATCGACGGATCTTTGCGCTTCCTCTAATCTCCCGATAAGCTTTACCTACAAACTAAAAAACACTAAAAAAATGTGTTAGTATAAAATATAGAAAAGAAATTAATGCATGCATGTCCCGGGACTGACGTAAAAATAAATCTAACCTATATGCAATGTGATAAAATAAATGCAATTCATAAATGTAAAAGAAAAAGATAGAAGTACTCCCTATTATGTTCGGTAGTCCGATCATGCGGCCGCTCCCTCTCGTATTCATCTAAAAAGATTTAAAATAAATATTAGTATGTATATGCATAGGAAGGGAAAGACAAAATAATATTAAAATCACTTACCTTGGTTTGAAATCGAGATCGACGGATCTTTGCGCTTCCTCTAATCTCCCGGTAAGCTTTACCTACAAACTAAAAAACACTAAAAAATGTGTTAGTATAAAATATAGAAAAGAAATTAATGCATGCATGTCCCGGGACTGACGTAAAAATAAATCTAACCTATATGCAATGTGATAAAATAAATGCAATTCATAAATGTAAAAGAAAATGATAGAAGTACTCCCTATTATGTTCGGTAGTCCGATCATGCGGCCGCTCCCTCTCGTATGCATCTAAAAAGATTTAAATAAATATTAGTATGTATATGCATAGGAAGGGAAAGACAAAATAATATTAAAATCACTTACCTTGGTTTGAAATCGAGATCGACGGATCTTTGCGCTTCCTCCAATCTCCCGATAAGCTTTACCTACAAACTAAAAAACACTAAAAAATGTGTTAGTATAAAATATAGAAAAGAAATTAATGCATGCATGTCCCGGGACTGACGTAAAAATAAATCTAACCCTATATGCAATGTGATAAAATAAATGCAATTCATAAATGTAAAAGAAAAAGAAAGAAGTACTCCCTATTATGTTCGGTAGTCCGATCATGCGGCCGCTCCCTCTCGTATGCATCTAAAAAGATTTAAATAAATATTAGTATGTATATGCATAGGAAGGGAAAGACAAAATAATATTAAAATCACTTACCTTGGTTTGAAATCGAGATCGACGGATCTTTGCGCTTCCTCCAATCTCCCGATAAGCTTTACCTACAAACTAAAAAACACTAAAAAATGTGTTAGTATAAAATATAGAAAAGAAATTAATGCATGCATGTCCCGGGACTGACGTAAAAATAAATCTAACCCTATATGCAATGTGATAAAATAAATGCAATTCATAAATGTAAAAGAAAAAGATAGAAGTACTCCCTATTATGTTCGGTAGTCCGATCATGCGGCCGCTCCCTCTCGTATGCATCTAAAAAGATTTAAATTAATATTAGTATGTATATGCATAGGAAGGGAAAGACAAAATAATATTAAAATCACTTACCTTGGTTTGAAATCGAGATCGACGGATCTTTGCGCTTCCTCCAATCTCCCGATAAGCTTTACCTACAAACTAAAAAACACTAAAAAATGTGTTAGTATAAAATATAGAAAAGAAATTAATGCATGCATGTCCCGGGACTGACGTAAAAATAAATCTAACCCTATATGCAATGTGATAAAATAAATGCAATTCATAAATGTAAAAGAAAAAGATAGAAGTACTCCCTATTTGTTCAGTAGTTCGATCATGCGGCCGCTCCCTCTCGTATGCATCTAAAAAGATTTAAAATAAATATTAGTATGTATATGCATAGGAAGGGAAAGACAAAATAATATTAAAATCACTTACCTCGGTTTGAAATCGAGATCGACGGATCTTTGCGCTTCCTCTAATATCCCGATAAGCTTTACCTACAAACTAAAAAACACTAAAAAATGTGTTAGTATAAAATATAGAAAAGAAATTAATGCATGCATGTCCCGGGACTGACGTAAAAATAAATCTAACCCTATATGCAATGTGATAAAATAAATGCAATTCATAAATGTAAAAGAAAAAGAAAGAAGTACTCCCTATTATGTTCGGTAGTCCGATCATGCGGCCGCTCCCTCTCGTATGCATCTAAAAAGATTTAAATAAATATTAGTATGTATATGCATAGGAAGGGAAAGACAAAATAATATTAAAATCACTTACCCTTGTTTGAAATCGAGATCGACGGATCTTTGCGCTTCCTCCAATCTCCCGATAAGCTTTACCTACAAACTAAAAAACACTAAAAAATGTGTTAGTATAAAATATAGAAAAGAAATTAATGCATGCATGTCCCGGGACTGACGTAAAAATAAATCTAACCCTATATGCAATGTGATAAAATAAATGCAATTCATAAATGTAAAAAGAAAGAAGTACTCCCTATTATGTTCGGTAGTCCGATCATGCGGCCGCTCCCTCTCGTATGCATCTAAAAAGATTTAAAATAAATATTAGTATGTATATGCATAGGAAGGGAAAGACAAAATAATATTAAGATACTTACCTTGGTTTGAAATCGTGATCGACGGATCTTTGCGCTTCCTCTAATCTTCCGATAAGCTTTACCTACAAACTAAAAAACACTAAAAAATGTGTTAGTATAAAATATAGAAAAGAAATTAATGCATGCATGTCCCGGGACTGACGTAAAAATAAATCTAACCCTATATGCAATATGATAAAATAAATGCAATTCATAAATGTAAAAAGAAAGAAGTACTCCCTATTATGTTCGGTAGTCCGATCATGCGGCCGCTCCCTCTCGTATGCATCTAAAAAGATTTAAAATAAATATTAGTATGTATATGCATAGGAAGGGAAAGACATAATAATATTAAAATCATTTACCTTGGTTTGAAATCGAGATCGACGGATCTTTGCGCTTCCTCCAATCTCCCGATAAGCTTTACCTACAAACTAAAAAACACTAAAAAATGTGTTAGTATAAAATATAGAAAAGAAATTAATGCATGCATGTCCCGGGACTGACGTAAAAATAAATCTAACCCTATATGCAATGTGATAAAATAAATGCAATTCATAAATGTAAAAGAAAAAGAAAGAAGTACTCCCTATTATGTTCGGTAGTCCGATCATGCGGCCGCTCCCTCTCGTATGCATCTAAAAAGATTTAAATTAATATTAGTATGTATATGCATAGGAAGGGAAAGACAAAATAATATTAAAATCACTTACCCATGTTTGAAATCGAGATCGACGGATCTTTGCGCTTCCTCCAATCTCCCGATAAGCTTTACCTACAAACTAAAAAACACTAAAAAATGTGTTAGTATAAAATATAGAAAAGAAATTAATGCATGCATGTCCCGGGACTGACGTAAAAATATATCTAACCTATATGCAATGTGATAAAATAAATGCAATTCATAAATGTAAAAGAAAAAGATAGAAGTACTCCCTATTATGTTCGGTAGTCCGATCATGCGGCCGCTCCCTCTCGTATGCATCTAAAAAGATTTAAATTAATATTAGTATGTATATGCATAGGAAGGGAAAGACAAAATAATATTAAAATCACTTACCCATGTTTGAAATCGAGATCGACGGATCTTTGCGCTTCCTCCAATCTCCCGATAAGCTTTACCTACAAACTAAAAAACACTAAAAAATGTGTTAGTATAAAATATAGAAAAGAAATTAATGCATGCATGTCCCAGGACTGACGTAAAAATAAATCTAACCCTATATGCAATGTGATAAAATAAATGCAATTCATAAATGTAAAAGAAAAAGAAAGAAGTACTCCCTATTATGTTCGGTAGTCCGATCATGCGGCCGCTCCCTCTCGTATGCATCTAAAAAGATTTAAATTAATATTAGTATGTATATGCATAGGAAGGGAAAGACAAAATAATATTAAAATCACTTACCCATGTTTGAAATCGAGATCGACGGATCTTTGCGCTTCCTCCAATCTCCCGATAAGCTTTACCTACAAACTAAAAAACACTAAAAAATGTGTTAGTATAAAATATAGAAAAGAAATTAATGCATGCATGTCCCGGGACTGACGTAAAAATAAATCTAACCTATATGCAATGTGATAAAATAAATGCAATTCATAAATGTAAAAGAAAAAGATAGAAGTACTCCCTATTATGTTCTGTAGTCCGATCATGCGGCCGCTCCCTCTCGTATTCAATCTAAAAAGATTTAAATAAATATTAGTATGTATATGCATAGGAAGGGAAAGACAAAATAATGTTAAAATCACTTACCTTGGTTTGAAATCGGGATCGACGGATCTTTGCGCTTCCTCCAATCTCCCGATAAGCTTTACCTACAAACTAAAAAAACACTAAAAAATGTGTTAGTATAAAATATAGAAAAGAAATTAATGCATGCATGTCCCGGGACTGACGTAAAAATATATCTAACCTATATGCAATGTGATAAAATAAATGCAATTCATAAATGTAAAAGAAAAAGATAGAAGTACTCCCTATTATGTTCGGTAGTCCGATCATGCGGCCGCTCCCTCTCGTATTCATCTAAAAAGATTAAAATTAATATTAGTATGTATATGCATAGGAAGGGAAAGACAAAATAATATTAAAATCACTTACCTTGGTTTGAAATCGAGATCGACGGATCTTTGCGCTTCCTCTAATCTCCCGGTAAGCTTTACCTACAAACTAAAAAACACTAAAAAAATGTGTTAGTATAAAATATAGAAAAGAAATTAATGCATGCATGTCCCGGGACTGACGTAAAAATAAATCTAACCTATATGCAATGTGATAAAATAAATGCAATTCATAAATGTAAAAGAAAAAGATAGAAGTACTCCCTATTATGTTCTGTAGTCCGATCATGCGGCCGCTCCCTCTCGTATTCAATCTAAAAAGATTTAAAATAAATCTTAGTATGTATATGCATAGGAAGGGAAAGACAAAATAATATTAAAATCACTTACCTCGGTTCGAAATCGAGATCGACGGATCTTTGCGCTTCCTCTAATCTCCCGATAAGCTTTACCTACAAACTAAAAAACACTAAAAAATGTGTTAGTATAAAATATAGAAAAGAAATTAATGCATGCATGTCCCGGGACTGACGTAAAAATAAATCTAACCCTATATGCAATGTGATAAAATAAATGCAATTCATAAATGTAAAAGAAAAAGAAAGAAGTACTCCCTATTATGTTATGTAGTCCGATCATGCGGCCGCTCCCTCTCGTATGCATCTAAAAAGATTTAAATAAATATTAGTATGTATATGCATAGGAAGGGAAAGACAAAATAATGTTAAAATCACTTACCTTGGTTTGAAATCGGGATCGACGGATCTTTGCGCTTCCTCCAATCTCCCGATAAGCTTTACCTACAAACTAAAAAAACACTAAAAAATGTGTTAGTATAAAATATAGAAAAGAAATTAATGCATGCATGTCCCGGGACTGACGTAAAAATAAATCTAACCCTATATGCAATGTGATAAAATAAATGCAATTCATAAATGTAAAAGAAAAAGAAAGAAGTACTCCCTATTATGTTCGGTAGTCCGATCATGCGGCCGCTCCCTCTCGTATGCATCTAAAAAGATTTAAATTAATATTAGTATGTATATGCATAGGAAGGGAAAGACAAAATAATATTAAAATCACTTACCCATGTTTGAAATCGAGATCGACGGATCTTTGCGCTTCCTCCAATCTCCCGATAAGCTTTACCTACAAACTAAAAAACACTAAAAAATGTGTTAGTATAAAATATAGAAAAGAAATTAATGCATGCATGTCCCGGGACTGACGTAAAAATAAATCTAACCTATATGCAATGTGATAAAATAAATGCAATTCATAAATGTAAAAGAAAAAGATAGAAGTACTCCCTATTATGTTCTGTAGTCCGATCATGCGGCCGCTCCCTCTCGTATTCAATCTAAAAAGATTTAAATAAATATTAGTATGTATATGCATAGGAAGGGAAAGACAAAATAATGTTAAAATCACTTACCTTGGTTTGAAATCGGGATCGACGGATCTTTGCGCTTCCTCCAATCTCCCGATAAGCTTTACCTACAAACTAAAAAAACACTAAAAAATGTGTTAGTATAAAATATAGAAAAGAAATTAATGCATGCATGTCCCGGGACTGACGTAAAAATATATCTAACCTATATGCAATGTGATAAAATAAATGCAATTCATAAATGTAAAAGAAAAAGATAGAAGTACTCCCTATTATGTTCGGTAGTCCGATCATGCGGCCGCTCCCTCTCGTATTCATCTAAAAAGATTTAAAATTAATATTAGTATGTATATGCATAGGAAGGGAAAGACAAAATAATATTAAAATCACTTACCTTGGTTTGAAATCGAGATCGACGGATCTTTGCGCTTCCTCTAATCTCCCGGTAAGCTTTACCTACAAACTAAAAAACACTAAAAAAATGTGTTAGTATAAAATATAGAAAAGAAATTAATGCATGCATGTCCCGGGACTGACGTAAAAATAAATCTAACCTATATGCAATGTGATAAAATAAATGCAATTCATAAATGTAAAAGAAAAAGATAGAAGTACTCCCTATTATGTTCTGTAGTCCGATCATGCGGCCGCTCCCTCTCGTATTCAATCTAAAAAGATTTAAAATAAATCTTAGTATGTATATGCATAGGAAGGAAAGACAAAATAATATTAAAATCACTTACCTCGGTTCGAAATCGAGATCGACGGATCTTTGCGCTTCCTCTAATCTCCCGATAAGCTTTACCTACAAACTAAAAAACACTAAAAAATGTGTTAGTATAAAATATAGAAAAGAAATTAATGCATGCATGTCCCGGGACTGACGTAAAAATAAATCTAACCCTATATGCAATGTGATAAAATAAATGCAATTCATAAATGTAAAAGAAAAAGAAAGAAGTACTCCCTATTATGTTATGTAGTCCGATCATGCGGCCGCTCCCTCTCGTATGCATCTAAAAAGATTTAAATAAATATTAGTATGTATATGCATAGGAAGGGAAAGACAAAATAATATTAAAATCACTTACCTTGGTTTGAAATCGGGATCGACGGATCTTTGCGCTTCCTCTAATCTCCAGATAAGCTTTACCTACAAACTAAGAAACACTAAAAAATGTGTTAGTATAAAATATAGAAAATAAATTAATGCATGCATGTCCCGGGACTGACGTAAAAATAAATCTAACCCTATATGCAATGTGATAAAATAAATGCAATTCATAAATGTAAAAGAAAAAGAAAGAAGTACTCCCTATTATGTTCGGTAGTCCGATCATGCGGCCGCTCCCTCTCGTATGCATCTAAAAAGATTTAAATTAATATTAGTATGTATATGCATAGGAAGGGAAAGACAAAATAATATTAAAATCACTTACCCATGTTTGAAATCGAGATCGACGGATCATTGCGCTTCCTCCAATCTCCCGATAAGCTTTACCTACAAACTAAAAAACACTAAAAAATGTGTTAGTATAAAATATAGAAAAGAAATTAATGCATGCATGTCCCGGGACTGACGTAAAAATAAATCTAACCTATATGCAATGTGATAAAATAAATGCAATTCATAAATGTAAAAGAAAAAGATAGAAGTACTCCCTATTATGTTCTGTAGTCCGATCATGCGGCCGCTCCCTCTCGTATTCAATCTAAAAAGATTTAAAATAAATCTTAGTATGTATATGCATAGGAAGGAAAAGACAAAATAATATTAAAATCACTTACCTCGGTTCGAAATCGAGATCGACGGATCTTTGCGCTTCCTCTAATCTCCCGATAAGCTTTACCTACAAACTAAAAAACACTAAAAAATGTGTTAGTATAAAATATAGAAAAGAAATTAATGCATGCATGTCCCGGGACTGACGTAAAAATAAATCTAACCCTATATGCAATGTGATAAAATAAATGCAATTCATAAATGTAAAAGAAAAAGAAAGAAGTACTCCCTATTATGTTATGTAGTCCGATCATGCGGCCGCTCCCTCTCGTATGCATCTAAAAAGATTTAAATAAATATTAGTATGTATATGCATAGGAAGGGAAAGACAAAATAATATTAAAATCACTTACCTTGGTTTGAAATCGGGATCGACGGATATTTGCGCTTCCTCTAATCTCCAGATAAGCTTTACCTACAAACTAAGAAACACTAAAAATGTGTTAGTATAAAATATAGAAAAGAAATTAATGCATGCATGTCCCGGGACTGACGTAAAAATAAATCTAACCCTATATGCAATGTGATAAAATAAATGCAATTCATAAATGTAAAAGAAAAAGAAAGAAGTACTCCCTATTATGTTCGGTAGTCCGATCATGCGGCCGCTCCCTCTCGTATGCATCTAAAAAGATTTAAATTAATATTAGTATGTATATGCATAGGAAGGGAAAGACAAAATAATATTAAAATCACTTACCCATGTTTGAAATCGAGATCGACGGATCTTTGCGCTTCCTCCAATCTCCCGATAAGCTTTACCTACAAACTAAAAAACACTAAAAAATGTGTTAGTATAAAATATAGAAAAGAAATTAATGCATGCATGTCCCGGGACTGATGTAAAAATAAATCTAACCCTATATGCAATGTGATAAAATAAATGCAATTCATAAATGTAAAAGAAAAAGAAAGAAGTACTCCCTATTATGTTCTGTAGTCCGATCATGCGGCCGCTCCCTCTCGTATGCATCTAAAAAGATTTAAATTAATATTAGTATGTATATGCATAGGAAGGGAAAGACAAAATAATATTAAAATCACTTACCCATGTTTGAAATCGAGATCGACGGATCTTTGCGCTTCCTCCAATCTCTCGATAAGCTTTACCTACAAACTAAAAAACACTAAAAAATGTGTTAGTATAAAATATAGAAAAGAAATTAATGCATGCATGTCCCGGGACTGACGTAAAAATAAATCTAACCCTATATGCAATGTGATAAAATAAATGCAATTCATAAATGTAAAAGAAAAAGATAGAAGTACTCCCTATTTTGTTCAGTAGTTCGATCATGCGGCCGCTCCCTCTCGTATGCATCTAAAAAGATTTAAAATAAATATTAGTATGTATATGCATAGGAAGGGAAAGACAAAATAATATTAAAATCACTTACCTCGGTTTGAAATCGAGATCGACGGATCTTTGCGCTTCCTCTAATATCCCGATAAGCTTTACCTACAAACTAAAAAACACTAAAAAATGTGTTAGTATAAAATATAGAAAAGAAATTAATGCATGCATGTCCCGGGACTGACGTAAAAGTAAATCTAACCCTATATGCAATGTGATAAAATAAATGCAATTCATAAATGTAAAAGAAAAAGAAAGAAGTACTCCCTATTATGTTCGGTAGTCCGATCATGCGGCCGCTCCCTCTCGTATGCATCTAAAAAGATTTAAATTAATATTAGTATGTATATGCATAGGAAGGGAAAGACAAAATAATATTAAAATCACTTACCCATGTTTGAAATCGAGATCGACGGATCTTTGCGCTTCCTCCAATCTCCCGATAAGCTTTACCTACAAACTAAAAAACACTAAAAAATGTGTTAGTATAAAATATAGAAAAGAAATTAATGCATGCATGTCCCGGGACTGACGTAAAAATAAATCTAACCCTATATGCAATATGATAAAATAAATGCAATTCATAAATGTAAAAAGAAAGAAGTACTCCCTATTATGTTCGGTAGTCCGATCATGCGGCCGCTCCCTCTCGTATGCATCTAAAAAGATTTAAAATAAATATTAGTATGTATATGCATAGGAAGGGAAAGACATAATAATATTAAAATAATTTACCTTGGTTTGAAATCGAGATCGACGGATCTTTGCGCTTCCTCCAATCTCCCGATAAGCTTTACCTACAAACTAAAAAACACTAAAAAATGTGTTAGTGTAAAATATAGAAAAGAAATTAATGCATGCATGTCCCGGGACTGACGTAAAAATAAATCTAACCCTATATGCAATGTGATAAAATAAATGCAATTCATAAATGTAAAAGAAAAAGAAAGAAGTACTCCCTATTATGTTCGGTAGTCCGATCATGCGGCCGCTCCCTCTCGTATGCATCTAAAAAGATTTAAATAAATATTAGTATGTATATCCATAGGAAGGGAAAGACAAAATAATATTAACATCACTTACCTTGGTTTGAAATCGAGATCGACGGATCTTTGCGCTTCCTCCAATCTCCCGATAAGCTTTACCTACAAACTAAAAAACACTAAAAAATGTGTTAGTATAAAATATAGAAAAGAAATTAATGCATGCATGTCCCGGGACTGACGTAAAAATAAATCTAACCCTATATGCAATGTGATAAAATAAATGCAATTCATAAATGTAAAAGAAAAAGAAAGAAGTACTCCCTATTATGTTCTGTAGTCCGATCATGCGGCCGCTCCCTCTCGTATGCATCTAAAAAGATTTAAATAAATATTAGTATGTATATGCATAGGAAGGGAAAGACAAAATAATATTAAAATCACTTACCTTGGTTTGAAATCGAGATCGACGGATCTTTGCGCTTCATCCAATCTCCCGATAAGCTTTACCTACAAACTAAAAAACACTAAAAAATGTGTTAGTATAAAATATAGAAAAGAAATTAATGCATGCATGTCCCGGGACTGACGTAAAAATAAATCTAACCCTATATGCAATGTGATAAGATAAATGCAATTCATAAATGTAAAAGAAAAAGAAAGAAGTACTCCCTATTATGTTCGGTAGTCCGATCATGCGGCCGCTCCCTCTCGTATGCATCTAAAAAGATTTAAAATAAATATTAGTATGTTCGGTAGTCTCTTGTATCTCCTAAAAAATAAGCACACAACATCATCGATCAAGAATAACTAACGAATCACATGCTTAAGTGAAGCACCAAATACTAGTCAAATCCAAAACACACATTATTAGGTACAAGGAAAAGTTCCAAGATTGGATTCTAAAATTTTCCAAGAAAAGTGTCGTACTATAATTTCTTGAATGATTAACACAAGACAAAAAAAAATCCTCAAAACATCAGCAACACTCAGATGCTTGAGCATCACTCAAGACTTGAAAATAAACATATAGAAATAACCATACCATACCTGGCATCCCTTCTTGCCCCTGATCCCTCCCCGGACAGCATAAGCCTCTTCGAAACCATGTTTCACCAACAGCTCAGCTACTTTCAAAGAATTACCATCACCTGCCCCTGCCCCTTCCCTGCTCGTACCCCATTGCAAGTGTCAGCTGCATCCCCGAAATTCTCCAGAACCCTCTTTACAAAACCTTCTTCATCCCCTTCTCGGAATTCCCCCTGCCCCTGCCCCTGTCGCTGGCCCTGCCCCTGCCCTGCTCTTACCCCTCTTCACAAAACCTTCTTCATCCCCTTCTCGGAATTCCCCCTGCCCCTGCCCCTGTCGCTGGCCCTGCTCGTACCCCTCTTCACAAAACCTTCTTCATCACCTTCTCGGAATTCCCCCTGCCGCTGGCCCTGCCCCTACCCTGCTCGTACCCCATTGCTTCTGCATTTGCATTTGCATTGCAACCCCAAAAACTTATAATAATGTATACAAAATCAAAATTAAGAATATTTATAATGTATGCCTTAACGGCTACTTACCTAATATAAAACTTACCATATATAATTTTACATGTGTATATTAAAATTAAAATCAAAATTAAAATCATTATACTTAACGGCTACTTACCTAATATAAAACTTACCATATATAATTTCACATGTGTATATTAAAATTAAAATAATTTTTTTTAATATTATGTATTTATTAAAATTAAAATCAAAATCATAATCATTATGTTAACGGCTACTTACCTAATATAAATTTACCATATATAATTTCACATGTGTATATTAAAATTAAAATAATTTCTTTTTTTAATATTATGTGTATATTAAAATTAAAATCAAAATCAAAATCATTATGCTTAACGGCTACTTACCTAATATAAAACTTACCATATATAATTTCACATGTGTATATTAAAATTAAAATGATTTCTTTTTTTAATATTATGTGTATATTAAAATTAAAATCAAAATCAAAATAAAAATTATTATGTTAACGGCTACTTACCTAATATAAAACTTACCATATATAATTTCACATGTGTATATTAAAATTAAAATGATTTCTTTTTTTAATATTATGTGTATATTAAAATTAAAATCAAAATCAAAATAAAAATTATTATGTTAACGGCTACTTACCTAATATAAAACTTACCATATATAATTTCACATGTGTATATTAAAAGTAAAATAATTTCTTTTTTAATATTATGTGTATATTAAAATTAAAATAATTTCTTTTTTTATATTATGTGTATATTAAAATTAAAATAATTTCTTTTTTAATATTATGTGTACATTAAAATTAAAATCAAAATCAAAATCATTATGCTTAACCGCTACTTACCTAATATAAAACTTACCATATATAATTTCACATGTGTATATTAAAATTAATATTTTTTTTAATATTATGTGTATATTAAAATTAAAATCAAAATCAAAATTTAATAAATTAAAAAATATATTTTTTTTAAATACATTACCCTCCTATCTAATCTAATAAAGATTAAAATAATTTATGCTTTTAATATTATATGTATATATTTTTATATTTAAATTATATTTTATTGCTTCTATAAAAATATAATATTTTATTTGAATATAATACTACAATTACATATATTTATTTATAATCATTAATTTTATTATATTAGTAATGATATTTTAAATAGATTAATAATTTAAAATTTATTTTACTGGTGTATTAATTTTGTATTTTAGCTTGAAGTAGTGTAAAAAAATATATCCCTTCCATCCCAACTAATTTGTCCATTTTAACTGGGGCATGAAGTTTTAGTTATGATGTAATTTGTAAGTAATTAAGAAATATATCAGTAAAAATAATTATGGTATAATAAAAATAATTATAGATTAAAATAATTTAATAGTTAATTAAAATAAAAAATTATAAATTATTAATTTTAAAATATGATTAAAGTGAATACTTATATTTCAAAAAATAAAAAAGAAAATTTATATAGGACAGATAGATATAGAAAAAATGGATAAATTAAGTGGGACGGATGGAATAATATTTTATGTTAAACTATTATATTTTTTAGTGTATAAATTATATATTATATATTTTGTACAAAATTATATATATTATATTTTTTAATATAAATTGAAAACCGTATTAAAAATTAAGTGGCAATGAATTGGAGATCAACCTGGGTCACCTGCATGCCAACAGATCTAACTAGTTTTTTTTTTTTTTTTTTTTTTTTTTTAATTTTTTATGTTATAGATATCAAAACTAAAAGTACAAGATAAAAATAAAAATAAAAATTCAAAAGAAGACATTCAGGGCTGTGGGGCTGTGGTGTTGAGTGTATATGTAATGTATTAATATTTTGTATTGAATTATTAATTTTTTTATATAAATAAATAGAATTATATTGTATTAATATATATATATATTATATTTTTGTAATAGTAATAAAAAATATATTTCAAAAAATTGTTGGTAAAATATACTCATAATTATTAATTTTAATAAACAATGTATACTTTCTTATATGTTCAAAAAAATATCTATTTTGTCATTTTCAATTGTTCATATATAAAATATTAATATTATTTTTTTATAACTGTGAATTTTATTACAAATATATGGATCCACCAGGGATTATGATGTAAATAAATAGAAAAATAGTGAATACAAATTTAAAGAATGATTATATTTTTTTTACTAAATATGATATAATTATACTTTTGATAGACAAATTAGAATGGTAATAAAGATCAAATGAGAATATTCTTATCATACTCATATTTTAAAATTTTGTATTTCCTCTATCATATGAATTTTTACTCTATTTTTTTGTTATTATTAAAAAATAATATAAGTAAAAAAATACCATTTTTATATGACCATTTTTTTAAATTAAAAAATATATATATAACAAACCCTAAAAAATCCCCAGGTGTCGCTGACCCGGCGGACACGTCACCTCCGGCGAGCCACGCGGGCATCTCCGGCGCCGGATGACTAAAACAGCGAAAATTTTTCATTTATGGGACTAGTTTGCGACATGCTCCACTTACGAGATTAAAATGATAAGGGGGTCCAGTTACGGGACTAAAAAAACAGTTTAGCCTTAACATAATTACCTCCAACTCGTTTGTTGTATTTGAGTGTGATTTGTCGACAAGAGTAGACGCAAAAATAGCAATAATTTGTTCTTCATTTTCTTAGGATCAATTCACACTATGTATATGTGACATATATGTATATATATATATATATAGAGAGAGAGAGAGAGAGGAAGAATGTTTTTTCGAATAAATACACGTAGAAAAAACAAGTGTGTTTATCTTTTTTCGAGCACAATAGCCCATATAATGTACGTGTCAATATCTTTTGTTTCTCCAACTATCGAGAAAGAATGTTTTTATTAATCAATATGCCAATTATATATATATATAATATGTCGACAACTCACAATATATGCATATCTTCGATGACTTTAATATTTGTCGTAACTTTAAATGACATTTAAGTTTTTACAATTTGAAAATGACAAATCCCATATTGTATCGGAGGAGATCCGGTGCTGAATGAAAAACCTTCAACACCGGTGCTAAACCTCATTAAAATTAATTTACATGATTATAATAATAATAAAATTTAATTATATAAAATAAAATAATTAAGTTTCATGCGTTCAGCATTCATACTGAACAATTTGATTCAGCAGATCCCACTTCATATTGTATACATTCTATTTTATATAACTCACTAATGTGACTTGCCCAATAAAAATTAGTTCAAGAAAATTTGAATGTACTGTTAGATGATTATGACCCACGACTTATATAGATTATCTAAACACATTGATGTCACTAAATTTGGATCTAATTCGATTTATAATAAGAATTTAAATATGATTTATAATATTCCCTCCGTTTCATAAATAAATATTTATTTGTTTTTTATACGTAATTTTAGAAATATTAGTATTATATTGAGATATAGTAGGAATAAAGTAGAAATGACTAAAATAACCTTATTAGTATGTGTGATATAAAGGTAATGATATTTGTGTAATATATTGTAAGTTGTAAGGGTATTTGTAATGTTAGGTATATAGTACAAGTACTTAAAAAAAAAAAAAAATGAATACTTTGTTATGGGACGGACTAAAATGAAAAAATGGATATTTTGTTATGGAACAGTTCATTTAATTGATGTATTCAAAATCAGAAGTAATTAAATATACGTGAAAGTCATTAAGTATTCATATTTTCCATTTTGTCTACTATTGAGATTCTTTATTAGTCTTTTTGTTAATCGGTAATTCTTTCGATCAAAATTACAATTTGTTTTAAATCAAATTGTCCGGTAAAAATAAATACTACAAAACTAAAATAACCAAATAACCAAAACAATAAAATTAAGAACAAATTTGCTAAATAATACAAATACATTTTAATTTGTTATTGTTGTTATTTGAAACAACTCAAAATTTTTATTACTCTTGTATATTTTCTTTCTTCACCATGTTAAGTATGATTCATAAAAACATTCAAATTATATATTTATATTAAATTAAATAATTAATATGCAAAGATGTGTGCAATAAATTATGGAAGATCTTGTATATGTATGTGTGTGCTTCTTTAACAAGCTGTGTTAAAAAATTTGAGGCACTTAGAATAAAAAAATAAGATAAAATAAAAATGAATTGAGGCACTTGGAAGCTTTTGATAGGTTGATAATTTTTAATTTAAAGGCATAACTAAATCAAACGCTGATTTCACGAAATTGCGTCAAATCTCAATATTTATAAAAGTACGTCAAACTCTCTCATAGTTTCATAAATTCTGCGTCTAACCTCTTCAACGGTCCTTATCAAACAACATTTGACTTATCAAAATATTTATTAAGGGTTTGTTTCTTTTGATTGGTTTAAGGAAAAATTTGGTTTGAATTTGATATTAAAATAATGTTTGATGAAATGTTTGTGAGAGAGAAACGCATAGTCCTAATAGTAAAAATTAGAAAGTTTATATTAAATAAACAAACTCAATGTTTATATAATACACAAATTTTTAAAACTACTACTAACAAATATAATAAAATATAAAAATAAAAATAATAAGAAAACAAAAATATTACTCTGTCATATCTTTTTAATTTTACATAATTCACAATAAATATAAAATCATACAATTAAATAAACACACTAAAACATACAAATAAATAATTTAAAAATTAATGTAAAAATCATTTATTTAAAAAATAATTATAAAATAAATTCTTATTTAAATTTTATTTTATACATTCTACAAAATATAATAATAATATATATATTAATATATAGTAGTATATATATATTATTGGGCCTAGGGAATGGGCCCTGGGCAAGGGCCCTTATGGCCTGGCCCAGGGCCGGGCCTGAGTGCAGCGCCGATAGATATCGACGATTCGTTTCAGATCCCACCCCACCATCGTGTTTAACCCCGTGCTTCGTCTGTTTCGGCATCGATCGCACGTAATCGGAGGCGATCTGGAGAAAGCATGGTTGGTGACGATGTCTCATTGGAAGGATTGGAGCAAGAGCTCGAAGATTGCAAAGCTGACGAGGTTGGTTTGTAAGCTGTAATCTACTGCATTTTGCTATTTCATCATTTCAGGGGGTCTTTACCTGGAATGAAAGAACAAAAATGGATTCATGAGGGTTTAATTACTGAATCATGATTCATTATATGCACTTTCCTCTCTGCCTTGAAGTTAGTTGCCAACATACTGTCCAAAGGAACGAAATCGCGAGACTATACGAAGGATGTGGAGAACAATTTACGGCAATCTGAACTCGAATCCATTGAGGTTCTGATCCGGCACTCAGTCTCACTATCTTCCTTGAATTTCTGTTCCGTTGTAGATTTTCTTTATGGCTATGTCATAGGTCCAGAGGAGAAATGTTTTGGAAAGTTCAATTTTGTTGCCTGTCAATTGTCCCTTAGAGTGATGGTTTCTGGAACATTTAGGATCTGCTTGGACAGGAATGTGTTTCTAGTGTTTGACCTTGGCCTACCTTTCATGATATTTGCTATCTGTTATTTGATGCCAGGATTACATTAAAGAAAGTGACAATTTAGTTTCTCTTCATGATCAAATTCATGATTGTGACATCATCCTATCGCAAATGGAAAAGGTTCTCAGTGGATTTCAGGTATGGGATGCCATATTCCATTATTGTTTAGCTGTTCATAAGAAGACTTAGCTGGGTGTCATGAAATATTTCACAAACTATCAACCAGAGCTAAAGAATATAAACTATGAATCAAATGTTATAATGCCCCAGTGGAGATGCGCAATCTGTGTGTGTTAAGCTGTTAAGTCACAGTTTTCTTGGCTTTAGTAAATTACTTATTGTGAGTTGCTATACTATTCTCTATGAATTTCACAACTATTTTCTTTTGTATTGGTTTGGTAGGCTGAAATTGGTTCAATAAGCTCAGATATTAAGATTCTTCAAGAGAAATCTATGGACATGGGGCTTAAGCTCAAGAATCGAAAGGTAAAATCCTTATCTCCTCTGTATTATGAAAGATAATGTAATTATCAGACAAATAAATATACTAGTGGTTCAGCTATCTGCTCTTTCACAGCTTGATGTGCATTGATTGTAAGTGGCTATATTTGGAAATCTAAGGACGAGGAAGTGAGATTTCACATGGACATATAGAAAAGCTATTAATGTCCTCCCTTACGAGGAAGTGGTTAACTTTGTGGCAATTTATTTTGCAGACCTTCTTTGATGCTGAGATCAAGAAAATGAAAGTAAAAAACTGCTACTTTCCCCTGTTTGTATCCTCAAATGTCCTACAGAAGGAGAAAGACCATATAGAGGGGTTTGCGCCCGAGGTAAATACTTTGATTTTGGCTCTTGTTCGTGAACTAGGACTTTTCTTATTCTGATGTATACTTTGAAGCTTGTTGAAAAAGAGTAGCATTGATGTGAAGTTTATATTTATCAAAACAATTTTAGTGAGATTTTTCATTCTCTTCTTTGACTCATGTTTATTATTTTTGTGCTTGTTTTTGCAACCACTTGACTGGCACTTCAGTTGATGATGTTGCAATCAATTAATACTAACTTTTATCATGACTTCTGGTGCTATTCAGCAGGCAACTGAAAGACATTTTATAGTCTTGTATGATCTTGTGGGCTTGACAGGCATGTCATCAATGTCTAACTGTTAGTTCTTTCTCTCAAGGTTGCATGGGTAACAAATCTGGAGAATCTGACCTGGAGAATCCTATTGCAATCCGTCCAACTAGTGAAACTGTTTTGTATCCATATTTTTCCAAATTAATTAGGGGGCACCGAGACTTGCCTCTGAGGCTTAATCAGTGGTGTAATGTTGTGAGATGGGAGTTCAGCAACCCCACCCATTTATCAGGTACTTAATAGTCTAAAGTCATCTTGAAAAGTTCTTTGCTCTTAATTTCTGGACTCTATATAATGCTTCTCCAGGTTGTATATAAAATATTCATGAAATTATTCTTAATGGTTCATCTTTTCGAAATGGGTATTTGGTGGAAAGAAAGAAAGTCTACTGAGAGCCTTGTTCTACTTTGTAGTTGATGTCTAGTGATTATGCAGGAGTCGTGAATTTCTTTGGCAAGAAGGACATACTGCTTTTGCAACCAAGGAAGAGGCAGACATTGAGGTATATTCTTGCTAGCCTATTTATACCCGTTGTATACATGATCATGCCTTTCTTTCTTTCTTTCTTTCCTTTTCTTTGGGTTGTGTATGTATGTTTGAAAGCATTGCCATAGTACTCAGAATCTGCAATTCAGGATTAAGTTATGAAACTTTCTACTGTTTTTATATATGACTGCACTGTTACATCTAGAAATATTTCACTAACAAAGGTGTTGTAGTTCATTGTCGTACTAACAATCTTTTTGTCCAATTCTTTTCAGGTCCGTGACATTTTGGAACTCTATAGACGCATATATGAAGAGTTCTTGGCTGTTCCAGTTATTAAGGGGAAAAAAAGTGAGCATGAGAAGTTTGCTGGGGGACTCTATACAACAACCGTTGAGGTTACAATACTATTAGATTATACAATATTTCTCTTCTGGGATAGTCTGTGCAAACTATCCCTGAAGGGATCCTTTCTTTGTAATTTATTTATAAAATTGCTATATGGCAGGCTTGTTCCAAACACCGGGCGTGGTCTGCAAGGTGCAACTTCACATTGTTTGGGTCAGAATTTTGCTAAAATGTTTGAGATAAATTTTGAGAATAAGAAAGGAGAAAGAGCTATGGTCTGACAAAATTCATGGGCGTATATGGTGATTACTCTCTTTATTATTATTACTCTTTCTAGGCGCTCAGATATCCATGCAAAGTAATGTCGTGTGGTTGAAATCAAATACTTTCTGTTTCACCGTTCTCTGATTCAGATTTACTTTGTGTTCCAAAATATGAATTTTACCAGTCCATTTACTCTCCCCAAAACATGGATCCTATGTTTCTGTTAGAAATACTGACCTAGTTTTCTGTGGATATTTATTTAATTATGTATCTGCTTTCAATTTTAAGTTAAAATTTATGTGATGGAATAGATATTGATATTTGGGTTCATGTTGTGATGAATGTCGTGGCCTGCTTGCTCTTTTTTGGTCGCATTATTGATAATATTACTTTAAACAATAATACCAATGTTGTGCTTCCTCAAAATTTTCAACTGTAATTATCTCAACACATCAACTATTTTTTTGTGTTATATTATATATTCCTGTTCTCCATTACCTTTGTTTTATTTGGATTTTCATTACCCGTTTGTGATAATATCTTATGTATGTCCTAGTTCGAGTACTATTAAATAATGAATTTGTGGAGTGTTATGTAGAATGAATGAAGAAATTTATAAATGACACATATTTAATGTATGAAGTAATACCCTACCCTAATTTAAATATGTTTTTTCTTATCTACAGCCAAACCCGTTTTTTTACAGAGCGGTTGGCAACTTTTGAAATGTGGCTTGATTATGGATCTGAACATAAAAGCTACCAGAACAGTTGCCAATTGTACTTCAGGTAGCAACATTCTAGTCAAATTTTATTTAAAACGTTTAAAATAGTTGTCATTATGTGCTTAATAATTTTCTCACGGGCATTTGTTTCTTCCCCTGAATTACGTTGGCACGTTAAAGATGGTATGAACATATTGTTTACGAGCTGGTACGAAGTAGTTTTAGTTTAGAGAATTTGATAAACTGTATTTCGTAATAATAATGCTTTGAACAATTTCATAATGACAGTTATACGAAATACCAGTGTAACATGATTTGTTTTATTTTTTTTAAAATCTCTTACTTCCAGGAGGTATATCTAAAAGCATTGAGAAAGGGTTTTAGCGTAAATGTGGATTTAAAGGAAAAGGCTTCAGTATATCGATGGATTCAAATTTTAAGGTATCTCGCTTCCATTATTTGAGAAAGTTGACATCATATTTGACATCAAATTTCATTCTGCTATTACTCCCTCCGTAACGCAAAAAATTAGTGCATTTTTTGCGAAGGAGGGAGTAATTTTTTTTGGGCTGGCTCGGGCCGTTTTAAAACTCAAGCCCGATAGGCCTAACCTGATTTTGGGTTCGGCTTGAAAATTGAAACCCAGGCATGGCCCGGTTTCAATTTATACCGGGCGCCAGCCCACTCTCTTGCGTGTGCATCTAAAAATATTTAAAATAGATATTAGAATATATGCATAGGAAACAATAAAATAATATTAAAATCACTTGCTTTGAGTTTGAAGTCGAGATCGAAGGATCTTTTCGCATTCTCTTGTCCACATATGCTTTACCTACAAATTAAATACACTATGAAATATAGAGATAAAAATAATACATTTAAGCCCCGATACGTAAACATGATTCTATTACTACATAAAAGATGCTAAAATAAATGCAATGCATAAATGAAAAAGAAAAAAAGACAGAGTACTACCTGTTATAGCTTCGGTCTTGCGGCCACTCTCTAGCATATGGATCTAAAAATATTTAAAATAGATATTAGAATATATGCATAGAAAACAAGAAAACAATATCAAAATCACTTACTTTGGGTTTGAAGTCGAAATCGAATAATCTTTCCGGATCCTCTAGTCTCCACATATACTTTACCTACAAATTAAATACACTAAACAAAACATTAGTATGAAATTTAGAAAGAAAATTATTGCATGCAAGTCCCGAGACGTAAATATGGTTCTATTACTAATATAAGATGCTAAAATAAATACAATACATAAATGTAAAAGAAAAATGTCGAAATACTCCCTATTGTAGCTTCGGTCGTCCGGCCATTCTCTCGCATGTGCATCTAAAAATATTTAAAATATATATTAGAATATGTGCATAGGAAACAACAAAGTAATATTAAAATAACTTTCCTTGGGTTGGAAGTCGAGATCGTAGGATCTTTTTGGATCCTCTAGTCTGCACATATGCTTTACCTACAGATTCAATACATTAAACAAAAATTTAGTATGAACTTCAGATAGAAAATTAATGCAGGTAAGTTCCGTGACGTAAATATGATTATATTACTATATGCAAGATGCTAAAATAAATGAATGCATAAATGTAAAAGAAAAAAGTCAAAAATATTTCATAATAAAGATGGTATGAACAAATTGTTTGTGAGTTGGTACTAAGTAGTCTTAGTTTAGAGATTTTGATAAGCTGTATTTTGTAATAATAATGCTTTGAGAAATTTCATAATAACAGTTATAGGAAAGACCAGTGTAAGCATGATTTTTAATTTTTTTACTTAATCTCTTACTTTTAGGAGTTATATGTGGAAGCTTGGGAAATGGTTTCTCTAGTGCAGCAACATTGCAATTCGATACAAAGGTATTATTGGAAAAGGCTTCAACATATCAACGGATTTAAAGGAAAAAGCTTCAGCATAAGGTATGTTGCTTCCATTATTTGAGAAAGTTTACATCATATTTAGCAAAAAAAAATGTGGCAATTTCAGGCTGATGTTACTCATTCCGACACGCAAAAAATTAGTGCATTTTTTGCGAGAAAGAAAGAGTAATATTTTTTTGGTTTGTCTCGGGTTGTTTTAAAATTGAAGCCCGATAGGCCCGGCCTGATTCTGGATTGGGCTTGAAAACCCAAACCAACGCATGGCCCGGTTTCTAAGTATACCGGGCCAGACCAGCCCACAATTTTAATATTAAGTTTTAATTAAATTTTTTGTTTTTTTAATTAGAAGATAAGTTATATTAGTCTAAGTTGATATAATTAGGAAAAAATATGTTTATTGATAATTAAGAATTAAAAAAAAAATTAATTCATGTAAGTCCCGGGACGTAAAAATAAATCTAACTCTATATGCAATATGCTAAAATAAATACAATACATAAATGTCAAAGGATAGGGACGAATTATTCCCTATTATGTATTCGGTCATCCGATCATCCGGCCGTTCCCTCCCGTATGCATCTAAAAAGATTTAATAGATATTAGTATATATGTATAGGAAACAACATAATAATATTAAAATCACTTATCTTGGATTTGAAATCGAGATCGAAGGATCTTTGCGGATCCCCTCGTCTCCACATAAGCTTTACCTACAAATCGAGAACACTTAAAAATAAGTTAGTATAAAATATAGAAAAAAACTAATGCATGCATGTCCCGGGACGTAAAAATAAATCTAACTCTATATGCAAGATCCTAAAATAAATACAATGCATAAATGTAAAAGGATAGGGACGAATTACTCCCTCTTATGTATTCGGTCGTCCGATCATCCGGCCGCTCCCTCTCGTATGCATCTAAAAAGATTTAAAATAGATATTAGTATATATGTATAGGAAACAACAAAATAATATTAAAATCACTTACCTTGGATTTGAAATCGAGATCGAAGGATCTTTGCAGATCCCCCCGTCTCCACATAAGCTTTACCTACAAATTAAAAACACTTAAAAATAAGTTAGTATAAAATATAGAAACAAAATTAATGCATGCATGTCCCGGGACGTAAAAATAAATCTAACTCTATATGCTAGATGCTAATATAAATACAATGCATACATGTAAAAGGATAGGGACGAATTACTCTCTAATGTATTCGGTCGTCCAATCATCCGGCCGCTCCCTCTCGTATGCATCTAAAAAGATTTAGAATAAATATTAGTATACATGTATAGGAAACAACAAAATAATATTAAAATCACTTACCTTGGATTTGAATTCGAGATCGAAAGATCTTTGTGGATCCCCTCATCTCCACATAAGCTTTACCTACAAATTAAAAACACTTAAAAATAAGTTGGTATAAAATATAGAAACAAAATTAATGCATGCATATCCCGGGACATAAAAATAAATCTAACTCTATATGCAAGATGCTAAAATAAATACAATGCATAAATGGAAAAAGATAGGGACGAATTACTCCCTCTTATGTATTCGGTCGTCCGATCATACGGCCGCTCCCTCTCGTATGCATCTAAAAAGATTTACAATAAATATTAGTATACATATATAGTAAACAACTAAATCATATTAAAATCACTTACCTTAGATTTGAAATTGAGATCGAAAGATCTTTGCAGATCCCCTCGTCTCCACATAATCTTTACCTACAAATTAAAAAAACTTAAAAAGAAGTTAGCATAAAATATAAAAACGAAATTAATGCATTCATGTCCCGGGACGTAAAAATCAATCTAACTCTATATGCAAGATGCTAAAATAAATACAATGCATAAATGTAAAAGAAAAAGAAAGAAGTACTCCCTATTATGTTCGGTAGTCCGATCATGCGGACGCTCCCTCTCGTATACATCTAAAAAGATTTAAAATAGATATTAGTATGTATATGCATAGGAAGGAAAAAACAAAATACTATTAAAATCACTTACCTTTGTTTGAAGTCGAGATCGACGGATCTTTGCGCTTCCTCTAATCTCCCTATAAGCTTTACCTACAAACTAAAAAACACTAAAAAATGTGTTAGTATAAAATATAGAAACAAAATCAATGCATACATGTCCCGGGACGGACGTAAAAATAAATCTAACCCTATATGCAATGTGATAAAATAAATGCATTGCATAACTATAAAAGGAAAATAAAGAAGTACTCCCTATTATGTTCGGTAGTCCGATCATGCGGCCGCTCCCTCTCGTATGCATCTAAAAAGATTTAAATAAATATTAGTATGCATATCCATAGGAAGGGAAAGACAAAATAATATTAAAATCACTTACCTTGGTTTGAAATCGAGATCGACGGATCTTTGCGCTTCCTCTAATCTCCCGGTAAGCTTTACCTACAAACTAAAAAACACTAAAAAAATGTGTTAGTATAAAATATAACAAAAAAATTAATGCATGCATGTCCCGGGACTGACGTAAAAATAAATCTAACCTATATGCAATGTGATAAAATAAATGCAATTCATAAATGTAAAAGAAAAAGATAGAAGTACTCCCTATTATGTTCGGTAGTCCGATCATGCGGCCGCTCCCTCTCGTATTCATCTAAAAAGATTTAAAATAAATATTAGTATGTATATGCATAGGAAGGGAAAGACAAAATAATATTAAA